TTTCCCCCCCCCCCCCCCCGCCCCTCCACCATGGTTCTTACTAAAGAGGCAGAGTCTGCTTCCCTATCTCTGGAATCCAGGCTGGGCTGGACTTGTGACATACTTTTGCTAATAGATTGCAAGAAAGCAATGGTATCCCAATCCTGAGGCCTCAAGAGAAAGTCTACATTTCTTGCACCTCTACCACTGCTGTGAGAAAATGCCTAGGGCAGCATGCTGGCACATATCAAAGGACAGTTAGCCTCCTGAGCCCCTGCCACTAAATGCCCGTTGCATCTTCAGATGGCCCTGTACAACTCCAAATGCATTCACGTATTTCCAAATGCTGCCTGGGGAACCAGTTGAGATCCAGTGATCTATGAGGCAGTCTTGGCTATCTTTTTAAAATGTTTAACTATTAAAAGGATGCAATCAAGGATATTCTTCAGCTTCTGCCTGGAGAGACTGGGACACTTCATCACTGCCCCCAGAAGAGTGTCCAGTGCATGCCAGGTGCTCAATATTTGTGGGTTGCTGCACGAACAGTATATTCTGTACATAAGACTGTAATCCCTGTGAAGTGAAGGCCCGCCCTTCCAATCTTTTGTGCCCTCTAACTGTATGCACAGAAGGTGATCAACAAGCTCATTCTTGAGCCCACTATTTGTTCTGATATTTGCAGGTCAAGGGTCTGTGATGGCTGAGAAGGTTTTGAAGAGCGAACAAGCATGTGCCAAGCTCCACACAGGGCGCTGGGTACATGTGACTTCCTTTCCTCCCCAGAGCCCCTCCCCCCCATGAGGCATTTGTAGCCTCATCTGACTGGTGAGAAGGCAGTTTCAAAATCCTGAGGTCACTCAGGGAGGTAAAGCTGGGTCTGTGTCCCTCCACCCCCATGCTGCCCCTCTGGGAAGGATGCTCGACGGGAGCCTCAGGTGAAGACGCAGATGCAGCACGAGGGCTGAGGTTCCTGGCTCTACACCACACCTGCCCGGACAACCGTGGATGAGTGGCTTAACCTTTCTGAGCTTTAATTTTCTCTACTGTAAAATGGGAACAACAATAGCCACTACCCCAGGGGACTGTAGGGAGATTCCAAGAGATGTTGCATATGAAGAGTACAGTGTTGGGAGTGAAGGAAAGACTCAAAAAATATCACCTATTATCACAGTTTGCTAGGGACTGAATTGTGTCCTCCAAAGTTCCATGTACTAGACACAACCCCCACCATGACAGTGTTAAGAGGGTGGGAAATCTTATTATGGTAATTGAAAGGTGGGGCCTTGAGGAGGTGATTAGATTGTGAGGACCATGCCCTAGTGAATGGGTTAATCCACTGGTGGTTTAATGGTGGTCATGGG